AATATATATGTATATATATATAAATTAAAAATACACCCTTACAGAATCTTCACTAATCAGAAAGGGAATAATGCTAGTAATTAGAAGCAAGTGCATGTTAGAGAAATAAGCAGAGGGTTTGCAGTGTAGTACAGGCGCACTGCCTGTGCATGGCTGTGCGTCGGACTGACCTTGCCTCTCTGATACAAAGCAGGATTTCCGCGGCTTCTGTTGTTGAGGCTGCGAGTGGAGTTCCAGCTGTGGCTGCCGGATGCCCAGAAGTTTCCCCCTCCCCGGGTGCTGTCCAGTCTCCCGGTGCTGAAATCACGCCCCAACCGAAGGACTCACGCTGCCGAGCCAATGGCGCTGGAAAATTTCCGCAATCGCTGCGTTTTGGGGCTGTCCATCCTTTTCCTTTCCTCGCCTTCAGTTTCTTAAACCTTTTTTTTTCTGGGCTCCCGCTCTCCCTTATTAGATCTTCTTTTCTTGTTCTCCTCTTTCTTCTGCTTTTTCAGAATTACGTGAAGGGGGGCGGAGAGTGGGGGGCGAGTTGACTGAGGGAGGAGAGAGCGCGAGAGTTGGGGGGCGGGGGGGGGAGAAGAGAGTTGCTAAGAAGCTCTGCTCGTTCCAGCCTGGTGCACTCTGAAAGATCTGACACCCTCTGCTGATCTGCAGTAGCAAAAATCCATCTGGTGAGGGAATGCTGAAGAAGAGAGAGAGGGGAAAAAAAAAACCACGTACGGGGCAAGCGTTAAAAATGTGGGCATTAAAGGCTGTCGATCTACATAGACGGTTATTTTAAAAGGATTATTTAATTCTTTTTGGGTGTTGGAAACTTTACCCTTTCCTACCCCCTAACGACCTCACAGCCCCCACTAGCTCCTGCGTTTGGAAAGGAGTGCTTTTAAAACATTTGTTTCCCAATCAATGGCTTGAATAAAATTAGTGTCAGGGTGTCAAGCGAACAGCAATTTGAGGTAATTATACCACACGCCATTTTCATCAGTGCTTTAAATGCATTTCTTCCTTCTCTGCGGTACAGTGTTTTATGCTACTTGATGTCTTTGAAAAAAATTTTGCGTGCTGGAAGTGGCCATTTGGAACATATGTTCATATCATATATATTTCATATAATATTATAATTGGGTAGAATTTTTTGGCAATTTAGACAAGTACTTTAAAAAACTTATATATTCAGTCATTTTGGTCAATGAGAGTAAGGTTTCCCTGATTATACTGAATATTATTTAAGACTGCAGGGTGAAAACACAATGTATGCTTACGTCTTTGATTCCAGACCAGAAAGCTTTCACTGAGAACCGGAAAAGGAGGGAGAGGGGCAGGGAAAAGAGATCCCAGGATGATTTGTGAGTCCTTTTAAAAAACCACAGCAGGCGCGCGCGCGAACATACACACACACACACACACACACACACACACAATCACAAAGTTTTCGCATCAGTTCGGAGGAATTTTAAATGCGTACAAGTAAATAACCAGTTGCATTTGGAGAAGGAGAGATTGAAATCTCCTATCTCTAAGGCTCCGTGCGAGCATTATCAGCAGGCAGCGGGCAGCTGCTCTTGGGGCATGTGATTGCTCGGTCACTGGTGCTGGGGTAGCTCGTTGCCCAAGCTTTTCCCAGCGAGCTGAATGGTCGGTTTTCTCGAACTTACAAGGAGGTTTTTAAAACCAAGTTCTACGAGCTTCTGGGAAGAGAGGGGATGTGAGAATGCTGCTTCTTGGAGGACTGTTCCGCTGACTTTTCTTATCCACTCGACACCTTTGCCATAAATGCGTTTTAAACACTTTCCTGTTCATTCTAGGGTTTGGATTTCCCAGAATCCCTCCTCTCCCTCTCTCTCTCTTTATTTTTTTAAAACTGTTCCTGGTCTGTTCTTCAGTGGAAGAAAACCTGCTATGGTTACATCCTTTTCCGTTTTAGTTAGGTCTCACACAGTTTGGGACAGCTGCTGCAAGGCTGCCAACGATTTGTGTAAAAGACCAGATACTCAAGGATTGTGCCTTTTGAGAGGACTGTGGAGTGAAGAATTTTGGAGAAGGGCTGAGGTTTGGGAAAGCAGGGAAGACAGAAGGGAGGGTCTAAAGATCCTTTTTATTTATTTATTTATCTGAATCTAGGGGGAAAAAAAAAAGACCTCACATCTAAGTAGAATGTTTTCGTGCAATCACATACTGTGCTGTAGTCTTCTGCTAAAATTGACTGGAGGAGGTGAAAAGGGCTCAGTTCTCTCTCTCTCTCTCTGTGTGTGTGTGTGTGTGTGTGTGTGAGAGAGAGAGAGGGAGAAAGAATCAGAGAGAGAGAGGCTTGTTTCAGGCATCCTATTACACTTCTAAAACAATTCTCTTCCTATTTAATATAACTCATTACCCCATGTAGAGAGAGGGGAAAAAACTTAATAAATTTGAAACCATTTCACTAAAGAAATGCTATGCAGTTTAGGACTGCAGATGTGGAGGAGGAGTTAAACCAATGGAAAGAATGTTTCTGTTTTTTTGAATTGGAGTCAGGTCTAAAATATCCAGACAAAAACTTGGCTCCAGGAGTCACCCTAAGAAAGGAAGGCAGCCACTTTGGTGTCTGTAACCGAGAGGAGGAGGCACAACTCTTAAGGGGAGACAGAGTAAGGCTGGCTGTTTAGGAAGAATAATATTGATGATGATAATCTAAAATCAAACTTGTAAACTTAATTGATTACTTGTTAATTCAATTTGTACAATAAACACTTTTTTGAAGAGACACAAGGAACATATTTAAGTTGATTATAAATGAATAGAGTTGAGGGAAGATGCAACTGATATTCAGATTTCTTCCCCCTCATTCCCATTAAACTCTTTTTCTCTCACTTTCCCCAGATTTATTATTTCCTCTCAAAGCACCAGTTATATTACAAAATTAAGTCAGGATTTCCCATTTAAATAGGTTACTTTTTTTTTTTTTTCAATACTACCCTCCACAAGTAGGTTACTACCCATTGATTCTAAGAAAGGAGTGTGCACAGATGAGTAATGAAAGCCTGAGAAGAAAATACTAAGGCTTTTAACGTAGATAGTACTAAATCTCTAGAAAAGAACACACACAAGTATATAGTCCTATTGAAAATTTGTCTCTATAATTTAGCTAACAAAATTCTCCTTTAAAAATTATTTTCATAATAAATACTTTTCAAGGAAAGAAAGAAGTGTAATCCTTTTAAAAGCACACTCAGAGCTCAAAAGACTAAAGATTTAAGCATAATAGTAAATTTCCTGATGGGAAATAAAACTATATGGGTATACTTATGTGATTTAAACATTCTCATGCCTTAGGGGAACATTTCTTAGGCATGAACTCATCTTAAAAGGGTTCTACTGTATTTATTTGAGCTCAAGTGCACCCCTTCAAATGCTCATAACAGATGATCTCAGGAGTCAGAGGTAAAGGACACTCCAGATGATGATGAGAATTGATAATATTTGCTCAGGGCTGTAGTTTCATTTCCAGGCTGTGGCCAGAAGGATTTCAACGGCATCATTAAATGTTCGTATTTTCTTATTCTTCCTCAAACAGGTTCATCTCTTGAGTGACAAAAGCTGGATCTACACATCACAGAATCATTCAGATTAAAAGTGAGCTATCAGTTAACTCTGCATTTTATCCCCAATAGCATCACATTTCCAGATGTTTCCAAATGTGCATATCTTTAAAATGAAAAAGTAGAATTTAGAACAATTAATTTGTTTATGTTAATTTAACATTGTTTATACTTCAGCTCATTTAATCCTCACAACAATTCAAGAAAGTATTCAGTTTTAATTTTTAATTATAAAAGTAATACTTTTCTATTTAAGAAATACAGAACTGTATATGGGAAGTCTAGTCTTTTCTCATCCATACTATTTCTTTTTCTAGTGGTAATTACTAAAAATAAATTAGTACATAGTGAATATGGTAGTATTTTCCCATTTTATAGATTTGGGAACTAAGAGTGAGCAATATGAGGAATTTACCAATATTGTTGTTTTTGTTGTTAGGTGTTCTCAAGTTGATTTTTGACTGGCTCATAGTGATCCCTTGTGACAGAACAGAACTGTCCTAAAAGGTTTTCTAGGCTGTAATCTTTATGGGAGCTGTGATGGTTAAGATTGTGTATCAACTTGGCTGGGCCATGATTCTCCGTGTTTTAATGTAATCACTCCCATGATTGAATATACTGTGAGTAGCCAATCAGATGAAAGGGAGTCTCCTTGGGGGTGTGGCCCTCATCTGTCTATAAGCAGATCTTCTGGCTTTTTGCTCTCTCTGGATCCTGCCGTTGCTTCCTGTTGTCTCATATCCCTTTCTTGGGACTTGAGCTGTCAGTTTATCTGCTGAACCTGGGATTCGTCAATCTGCACAGCCGGTGAGTGGGAGCCCTGCTCTCCAACCTTCCAATCTTAGGCTTGCCAGCTTCTGCAGCTGTGTGACTTGGGAGAGGCCTCTACCCTGATCCACAGACTTGGGATGTTCTAGCCTCTACAATCACGTGAGCTGTTTCCTTGATATAATCTCTCTCTCTCTCTCTATTTATACACTTTACTGGTTTTGCTTCTCTAGAGAACCCAGCCTAAGACAGGAGCAGATCATCATGACTTTCTTCCACAGAGCAGCTGGGTGGGTTTGAACAGCCAGCCCTTTGGTTAGCAGCCCAGCACTTAACCATTGCACCACCATGGCTCTTTTTACCAATATTACATAATATCAATGGATTTTTTCCCATGGTAGTAATGCTACAGACACATGAGCCAAGATTTTACTCTTACTCAAAAGTTTCTCTTTGTTCTTAATATGCAATGCTGTTACTTTAGTTAAGCTCACTGTGAGCCAGTTTCTATGCTAGTAAATAAAAGTCATAGGGTTTTGTAACTTATTGGTCCCTTGAATCTAAAACTCCTTTTAAATAATTTCAGAAAAGGCCCAGTGTCTCTTGCCTCCGTTAGACTTTTTACACTGGGATTTAGGATGTTTGTTAGTGTATTTACATATTCATTAGGGTTTGAAGCCAAGAATAAATGCAATAAGCCCTGTAAGATAGAATTTTCTAGCTCTAGCTCTGAGTTTAACTTACTCTTATCCTCTCCTACATTTCACAGGGAAAAAGGATCATTGGAATTCTTGCTTCTTGTTATAAAATTGTAAACTAAGAGAGACATAAATCAATCACACCTATATACAACTACTCACTTATTGACTATTTCGATATCTGACTTTTCACATTTACAACAATAGTAAGAAATCTACTATCTGACTATTTTGCACATTACTGACCTATGTTTGCCAGTAATGAACGCGAGGTGTGAGGTGAGAGTAACTCTGCTGTGATGGTTAAGATTATATGTCAACTTGGCTAGGCTATGATTCTCAGTGGTCTGGCAATTATGTAATGATGTAATTGGGCATCTATGTAATGATGTAGTCATCCTCTATTTTGTGACTCAATGTGGTCATTCTGCATTTTCTGATAATGTTGATTTTCGCATAACGACCTGGTCTTTGGAACCTAACCATGTCAATAAAAGTGAGGTGTGGGTGTA